CTCGGCAGGATTCGCCTATGTATGTTGCATCAGGTCTTTAGGTTCGATAATTTCCACGAATGCTTTACATCATTAAGCCGAGTAAGTTTCATACAATCTAGACAGATTGCCATGTGACCTTTGTAAATTCGAGAACGATAGTAGTCAAAATCGACTAGCTTCCCCTTGCCGAATTAAGCGAATAAGCATCTATGGTATACGCTGAGTTTTTTCTCGCTTATAATCTTGAATATTGGTTCTAACCCATACGGCCCATTGGTTAAGATTTTCACCCGTTTCACAACAGACAACATGTTGTATAATCTTTCAGAGTCAAAGAGAGGTTTAAATGGGTTGGAGGGTAACAGACTCTGTTTGCTCATTTATCCAAATGACTGCTACGAAATAGTCTGTCACTATCGCTATAATATTAATAATATTACGCGTATCACGTAATATAGACTCAGCTTAACACTTTCCTTCTGCAGAAAGCCTCCAAAGTTTTATTAATGCTTTAGTTTCACACAAACAAGAGCTTAGAGACGTGCATTCTTATTACCTCCATCTTAGGCAGTATTTGGAAAAACATGCAACATCGAATACGTGGGGGGCTGAAAAGTTTTGCGCGTGGACCTTTATTTCCAGAAATTTCATAATTGTCGATACAACTATTTTATTCCCTCAAAGTACTCTCTGTTAACATCTGCCAACTCTAGAAAGACTTCTCATAGTTTTGGATGGTCCAGCAACTGCCTGAACAGCCCTTGCCAAATTTTCGACTTTATCAAATCTTTTTTCCTTCAGTTCTTTTTTGATAAGAAAAAATCACAAAGAACACAGTCTGGACCGTATGGCAAGTGGAGGAAAGTTCCACTCGTTCGTTATGAAGATACTCCGTTCCTTATGTAATGAAGCATAATGTCACGAACAGTTGTTTTTCTGGAGGCTCAGCAAAATGTAGGAAATTTTTCACGAGAAGTGCCGATTTCGTTGGCCAATTTTTTAATAAAATGTGCGGGTTATTACTAACAATATCCTCGACCTTGGCAATTTTTCTGACGTCACGGCTTCGCAAGGACGTCCAAAATGAGCCTTGTCTTTAATTTCTTCTTCCCCGTCTTTGAATATAGCAATTCAGCGTCTAATTGTGCTAATATACAATGCTTGTTCCCCTTCTACGTTTACCAACTCTTCGTGAATTTGAGTCGCATTTCTGCCACGTAACTTGTGTAATAAAATCTTGGAAGGTATGTGACCTTTACCGTCTGATGAGAGAATTACCAAACCAGATATTTCATACTATTACTCGGAAAACAGCTTGCAGGATAAGAAAAGCATGCTTAAAGCGGAAACAATACTACATGTCATTGATATGGGTAAGTAAATTTTGTTGTATTTTTGATATATAAATTTGAGATGGATAATAGATATCCACCCTCAAACTCAGCTAAAGGTAATCTATGTCTTTGTTGCTCTAAAGAAAGACCAATGGTTTTTCAAAATTGCCATACTAAACCTATACAAATCTAGATTTAAGACACCTAATCTTTGCACAACAAACTCTTTACCTTGAACAATCCGGTAGCAAGTCCTAATCAACTACGATTGCAATCCGTAAACAATTATAATAGCAGTTTGTATATTGTAAACTTAAAATTCTCTAACCATTGACTGCTTCTCGCGTGTGGAACGAAAATTTTATCTGAAAAGTAACCGCAGTCATTGGTTGACCTTATCACGGTTTAATTAGTTATTTTATATTGGCGAATACAGTTCTTCCGGCTATTAATGGTCTCTATTTTATTTCACTTTGCTTTCTACAGATTCTCAATTGGACTTGCGGGTCAAAATTGCTGTTTGTGCCAGTTGTTTTACTGAATATCGACGCAAAGACAACTTTGCTTGGATTATTATTATGCTGAAATAACCCGCATGTTCTCAATTCCTGGAATTAATTCGATGAGAATATCCGGGTTGAATCCATAGAGTGTTTGAAAGCAAAATAAAGCCCATCTTTCCAGTACGCAAGCGACTCATTCCACTTAACCAATATGTAAGAATAGGATGGATTACTGTTTGAAACTGTGTCGATAGGTATCATTATATAGATATTGGAGAGGGATACGTCTGGCCCATTTGTGTATTGCTTGGGACATTTCGTACACCCCTCATTCATGAATGCATATTTCTCGGCATTCAGTTCTCAATGTAAAGTCAATAAAACATAGCCTGGTATTATACATTATGTTTATTTACACGATGCGAATATGCTTATTTTTTGTCACCAGAAACGTCCTTGGCAACGGTTTTAAAAAATTACTTAAAGTACTGATGTTCCGGAATTTATTAACAAGAACCGAGCTATGTTTGTGCAAAGAATAAATAAACCTGATACTTTAGTATTAGTCCAAGAGCATATACTGTATATAGTAATTTCAACCTGCTAATTACACTACTCATCGCCGTTCTATAGTACGTTCTATGGACAAGCGGAAAATACAATGTTAACCGAGTGTTGTCATGATATGTAATTACAATAACAGCTGTAAGCAAGAGCGACACCCCGCTAACCATGAAATCGACGCAAGTAGTAGTGGTGGTGGTGGTGGGGTGGTAGCCTGTTTAAGCAATATGATTTGAGCATTAACCTATCATACGACATAGCCGATATGAACAGAACTTGATTAGCGAATACGACGAGATGTTTATCGTGAACAGAAGGTATATTATCTTTTTTTTAATTTTGTAATTAACAATTGATTTAAGGTTTCAATCATAATAATGAATTGTAATCAGTATGAATAAACACAATGCAATAAATATTGTACATGTTGCACACTGGTGACACACGAAAAGCAAGAATCACGCCGCTATGGTACGCTTAATTTTTCTGACTGCATAACGCTGCACTATCAAGGCACCTTTTTCTTTCTTTCGCAAATTAGTTAAATCGCTGCATATGCGTTGTGATATCGAATGCACAATTGCATTATTGGTGCTGTTTACTAATAATAATAACAACAACAACAACAACAATGGAATTATAATAGGTAGGATTAATGCGTCACAATGTATTGTTCAACCTCCCACAAACTAAATAATCGAGATAAATCGTATATTAAACCACATGTCACTTATACTTATCAGTTAGTAAGCACGGAATAAAACGTCCTTGTTTTAGTAATCGATATATGCTTTGAAAACCTTCCTTACAATGAGTCAGGTAAATTAATGGGTGAACAACGTCGCATATAAATTGCTACGGAGTATGGTTTGTCATTCGTCGAACAGACTTTATTAGCAAAAAGAACAGTGTATCATTGTGCCACATGTGTAAAATGATTCAAACTAATTAATTATTGTCTTCTGTGCATTAAAGTCAATGGCTGATTGGCTTTGTTAAAGACATTCTCCTTGAATATGTCAAACTCTGTAACTGTCATTTTCGTTTGTTTTTGCATTTTTCCATTCGCCTCATTAATAATTGCGCATTTTATGTTGCCAATTTACCAGACTCTCCATCATGGATTTCAAACGTCACATTGTATGAAAGAGTAAACATCGAGTTTCTGTAATCTGCGGCCATATGTGCCTAACAAGGGTGATTCGGATACTTGTTTAGAATTTTTAATTACAGCACGAGGTTATTGGAATAACAAAAGATTTCTTTCTTTCCCTGGGCCACAACTGCAACGAGTTATTAGATATACAGTGTTATCAAAGGCAGAGAATATATTTTTAGAAGAATGCGCCGACATACCCGATAATCGAGTACCTATTGTTACTATTGATTAGGGTATTTAGTGTAACTGTATTAGTATACATTAATCTCGGGATAATCCCGGTTGTTTTCCTAGTTACCTTTGCGCCAGTATTCAAAGCATCTTTGATCGGCGCAAAGAAATTCCCGTCCTGTAAACATGATGGAGCACTTAGAGCCTATCGATTTCTTGATCGTCGCATGGTTGAAATTCATCGTTCTTGTTTCGTTTCTTGCCCTTTAATGGACTGTTGCCCAACAAATTTAAGTTACATGCTGTTTTTTACTGCGTAGAATATTGTTTTAGTCAGCGACACTTGTTAATTGGAGGGAGTCGCTTTGTGAGAACTACGTTTGGGAATAGTAGACGAATTGCGATGAGGGAGAGAAGAACAATAAGAACAATCCCATAAAAAGAATAGCAATGTAAACTAAGTTTAACGCATATGATGATAATCAGGGAACCGATATTATCACATTATTAATAGCTAATTGTTTATTTACTTCATGCTAGCATACAGACACTTTACCCTGCTTCAGTTGACAGAAGGATCTTGACAGCAATCCGAAAGTGATTGGTTCCTTGATGCTGGTTTGAGGTTGAAGATAATTCTGAGAATATGCGTTATAATAGACGGCATTTAATATGCAGAAGTTTGATCGAGTATTTGTTGACTAAATTAGTGCAACTTTGGTGATCGGTCCGTTCCACTGAATTGGCTTCAGGCCGTCACATTGTGCAAACTATTATTCGCATTGTGGTTATTATTATTATTATTATTATTATTATTATTATGGCCAATGGGGAATAGATAACAATTCTCTCTAATGAATATTAATATTATTTAATACTGGTTGTTACGTATGACAAGTGGTTATAAAAATTTTAACCGTGAAAATTGATAAAAATTCATAATAATAATATTTGATTAATTTACAGGTTTAACTTTATGTAATTGTTAATATCACTGCATAAATCCGATGAAATACAAGTCAAAACTGATAGGTTAGTCGATCGCTCTATCTACAAAATTACAAATCTATTCAATCTCTGTTGTGTAAATTTAAAGTTTGTCCGTGTGTTTGTCCCACCGAGTCGGTATCCAATACACATACTGAATTACTGTGCAACACTTTAGTTAGTTTAAATATAAACTCCCACAAAGGCAACCCTTTATTATCAATAGTTTCTGTTTTCAAACAACACTTCAATAGTCTGTTTTCAAACATTCACTCTCACATTCCTTTCCCAACCACAGTTATGATGTTAGCAAAGCGAAAAAAGCCTGTTCCTGTTGTTCCTGAGAATCAAACAGTAACTATTATTTCTACGATTGCCGCCCCGGCAGGCACACCGAATCCTCAACCCTCACCGAACCCATCACCAAACCCGTCACCGAACCCATCACCGAACCCATCACCAAACCCACCCTCAACTTCACCCTCGCCAAACCCGCCACCCTCAGCTTCACCACAATCCAACTCGAATCCTCCTGCTCAACCTGCAGATTCTTCTTCCACTCCTCCCAAATCCACTCCAGGTGACAACACTTCTCCAAAAAATACTGCCACAAACACGCTAAGCAATTCCAATCCAACAACAACCAGTATTGGCAGCCAACAAGAATCTTCAGCGTTTACACTACCAACTTCAACAATAACCTCATTTAACTCATCATCACCCCCCACGATAACGTCTATAATATCGAGTCTAGATTCAGACCATCCACCTGGATATGTCTACTCGCTCGCAACAGTAATAGGAGGAATGGTTTTGTTGGCCATTGTGGTGGCATGTATATTTTGCTACAAGCGGCGAAACGGAGAGAAACGTGATATGGGTTCCTTTGATGCGTTACTCACAACAATGACAGGCTCCACTCGACCCCCATCATATAATGATGGCCTCATTCCATCGTCTCCTGGTACATCCGTTGTTCACATAGAACCGACGTCTCCCGATCTTGATTTGTTGGAGATGGGGTCAATCTATAAACCACCAGCAACATTGCCCAGGGAGAGCATACATATTGATGCCCTCCCTCCAGTAAACTATAACCCAGTAGAGCACGAGTATGAAAACGATTGATGCAAAGCGTGTCGATACTCTTAGATGACGGACATAGTAATGTGTGAGAAAAGTGATTAATCACTACGACAGTCATACACTAATCTGGATGGAACTCCATTTTACAAAATAATGGAGCAAGAAAACATTGGCATGACATGCACATTCACTATGTAGAGAGAATCAGAAAGAGGAGGATTTAATCACAAAAGAAAATTATATTGTAGCTTTATTTTAATAATCAGCAGTTGTCATAATATACAATTTTGCTGTGTAGATAATATCTTTCCTTGTAATTTAGAGCGGGACCTGGGTTTTGCAAAAAAAAAAAAAACATCATTGACTGTGTGCGTACGACTCCACTGCGAACGAAAAGATAAATGGTGTGTGTTTTCAATTAAGGGCTGGCTTGTACGAATAAACACAATTTCTTGTATTTAATTAATAAGTCGATATTAATATCTCAGTGACAGCAGTTGCCAAATATGGAAACGAGTATTATTTATTGTAATACCCACAATTTGAAAGCGATAAGATCGTAAACATGTATCCAGTTGACTGACTGTAGTACAGCATACATATATTTTTAATACAGTTTCAGCATGGTATCTAGAATTGAACGATTATTGGCCTTACTGTAATCACAATGCTGCGCAATATCATTATCCGAAACACATGTTTCAACCAATCCAGACGATCAATTAGGTGTGGGTTGGTATTTTTAATGTTCGGTGATTCATAATAATTTCGCCTGGTGCACCAGTGTGGTGGAGCTATAAGGGTTAGGGTAAATTTGCAGATCTCAATGGTGCATACCACTGGTGGGTGCATCAGGCGAAATTAATCGTAATAATCATCGATCGATTTGGGGGTGGATAGATTTTTAAATGCCAGCCGAGATTCGAGTTTTGGGGTTGAAACGGGTGAGGGAAAGCACTCGAACAAATAACCGAGAATCTTAATAACCTTCTCAGCTAGATAGAACCCGTATTAATCATGGAAGAAAGAGGATGAAGCGCTGTCATACAAATGTAGTATCAAAGTTATTAATACTATACTTAAAGATCATTAAACGTGTGCTCCCATTCTGTTCTTTTTCCAATTAACTAGGCATATTATTGACATCCATCAGAGTGAGCTCTTTCATATTGAATGTTCCATGTTAGATTGTTCTGACGCATGGAAAAAATAAAGGCATATTTGTGTTATATCGTGAAGCTAATGTAAAATGACCGTTTGACCTGAGTTTCGTTGACTTGTACGTAATTATTATTATTGATTTTATGACTTTTCAAGTAACCTATAAACGTCTGGAATAATGACGATTTTATTAACATTCATAAGAAATGTCGTCCTAATCGACCCGAATATGATGGACTAGTTCATACTAATGTACAGCATGGCATCGTCTTAAAATTATCGACTGAGTATCCTTTTATCATGATTCTTTTCTAATTTCCGTTTATCATTTGTAAATTTCGCCAACTCAATTTCATCAAATTTCCATACCAGGATGGATATATCAGTTACATCAATCACTTATTCCAGTGTTGATGTGTAATCTATTCCCCTCGTTCTATCAAGTTTCCCGTCGTATTTCGGCTACACGGTTACTAATAATTGCGACTCGGCCTATCCAAATGTCACTATCTACTCAATCCGAGACTTCTACTGAAGATGCCGAATACCAGCAGCGCTACCAGACTATTGTGGAAAACCTAGCGTCAATACGAGAAAGAATGAAAGCGGTTGCTGGTGGAGAGAAGGTTCCAGCCCTTACTATGATGTGATTCGGCGAATTAAAGGCCGTAAGCTAATAAATCTAATCGATGTGAACTGATCCTATGGATTAGGCTAGACTGGTGGCCGTTTCTAAAAAGAAGCCAGCATCAGATGTCTTGATTGCTTATAAAGCTGGGCATCGCCATTTCGGAGAAAATTATGTAAGAAAGATATCTTGCGGTTTTATAAACACGATCTGATCTGTATTGACAAGCCTTGTCTGTGGCACAGGTCCAAGAGCTTGTCGAAAAGAGCAAAGAAGTAAGTAATTCATAGACTCGTATTAATGGATAGTTGTGTAAACTCAACGGAATATTGCCAACAGCTTCCATCGGATATCAAATGGCATTTTATTGGCTCTCTACAATCAAATAAATGCAAAACATTAGCAAGTTAGTACATAATCTGTTATCGATAAACCAGTTTACATACCCAATGCTCATTATTGCTTTATTTAGGCATACCTAATTTGTGGATAATAGAAACTATAGACAGCATCAAGAAGGCAAATGGTTTAAATAAATCATGTGAATCTCGTGATACGCCTCTCAAAGTGTTTATTCAAGTCAATACCAGCAAAGAAGAAAGTAGGGCATGTTCATAAGGTCTAGGATATTATCATTCACGTCTACCAATGAAACCTTTGATATCTAAGACGGAAACTTTTTGTAGACAAGAGTGGCGTTGAAATCGAAAAATGCGTTCCGTTAGCCGAGCATATTATAGACAATTGTAATAATTTAGAGCTATGCGGTCTGATGACGATTGGCGCTGCAGATTGGGAGCCAAGCCATGGGCCTAATCCATATTTTCGCGTAAGTAGCAAGACATCTTTGTCGAAATACTATCCGGTGCCAATTTTCATTTTTGATTTTCCCTTTTGTAGATTCTTGCTCAATGTCGTGATGAAGTGAAAGAACAAGTCAAACAAAAGAATGGAATAGAAATAGATTTAAAGTTGAGCATGGGAATGTCGGACGATCTTCAGGAAGCTCTTGAGGCCGGTTCTACCGAAATACGTATTGGTACGGCGATATTCGGTGCAAGACTCTCGAATAAATTGGCGATGTAATCGTATGCCCGACTGGACATGTTGACGGCGTCCTTGATAGTCTTACTTGGTGTATCAATTGTCATTTTTGATAATCCTGATCAACTCATAAACGTTTGCAAAAGATGTTTGAGCTTAATGTCTATAACAGCTTTTAAAATTGCATTCATCTGCACAATCTAATCAATTGGTATGACGCGACATAGCCCATACGTGGTTCTGCAGACTTGATGCTAGTAAAGGCTGCTAAAAAACTTAAAGTATTTACAACCTTGGGGGTTGATATTTATTCAACTTCCATAACTTCCCTCAATCGCAGAATTGCGTTCACAAACGTCTGCGTAAGCGATGTTATTCCGCTGAATGGGGAACATCGCCCTTGAAGATCTGGCCATCGTCATCACAAATTAATTGATTAGAGAAATGTTCTTATTGTTGAATGGGTGTGCAATTATAATATTGCACAAGTGTTCGCTGTTATATAACTTCAGTGAACAATCACGATTGAATTCTAATGGCATGCTCTAACGATAGTGATTAAACATAATCGTGATTTTTACCAGTTCCAACGAATTACGCATAATTGATACTGAACGAATGGAATGCATAGTAGACTGTGTTCACCAATTCGCGCCAGACGCGCTATCTACGTATTAACATTATCATGATGGGTGTAATTATCCAAAAAGATGTGATTACGATTTAGCAAGACAAGCGGGAAAAGGAGCTAGATCGAATAAAAATATGACTCTTTTTAATAAATGATTAATAACTATAGATAATCTATTATACAGGCTACTGACTAGACACTAATACTTATTGTATATATTTATGTGTGTGTATGTGTATATATATGTACCACTTATTAACGTTTGTATCGCTACTTTTTTGTATCGCTATTTCTTTTAAACGACTTATTGTTAATTAATAATAGACGAATGCTTATAGCCCAAGTAATAAAAATAATACATTAAAAAGAAATACATTTCATTTATACATGTAAATACAAACACCCGACGACTTTAAATCCATTATTTAATTTACACGTGAACATCCCTGGATTTTCCACAACCAACGCACACCAACACGGGACTTCCACGCAGAAACGCGTTGAAGTCCGTTGACCCACACAAACATTTGACCTGCTGCCCTGCAGCCTTCTCATCGTTGACCGAACCAGCGCCTCGAGTGCTTCGTGATCCAGCAGAAAACACACTAGAGGCATCGCTTTGTCTGCGTGCCGCTTGGGTGCCAAATGCAATAAGATTGTTCATTGTTGAATTCCAAGATCTATTGCTCTTGATTGAAACATTATCCGTATCTTGGTTGGCATAGTACGCACAATCATTTCGGAAAACTTTGATACTGCCACTGTAATCGGCACAAACAATGATATTGCCATCCGGATAGGTTGGCAATCCTGATGAGTCTTCTTCAGTGCGATCCTGCGTTCGGGCAAAGATTGGGTCACTGCACTGTGCTATCAGTCTTTTCGTGCGAGTTGGAGCAAATATGGATACGGTTACTATACTGGAATGAGCTATAAGATAGAAAAGATGTTATTCCAATCAATCAGCCCTGCACTTGGTGTATAACTAAATCTTACGACATGTTCGACAAAAAAGCCTTATTACCTTCAAAATACTCGTAGCTCACTTTGTCTTTCTTCAGCAGGAATCCACCCCCGCTACTTTTTGACGTATGCATTCCCGACTGGTCAGTGTTCCAGATGTACACATTTCGATCTTCTGACCCGCAAATAATATACCGCCCGTCATCACTATACAAATAAATGTTTAAAGAGATGGATAAACCCGGGCAAACATACGAACGGTTTATGAATAACAACCATGGGTACCTAAATGTAGCACGTATTTGACTACACGTGTTCTCCAATCCTTTGTATTTGCATTCCAGCGATTTGTCGCGCATGTTGTAAAGACGTACACGTGAATCATTGGAGCTTATGAGAAGCTATAAACATGACATACGGGGAAATGCCTCAGTCAGTATTTTGTGATTGGAAGGAACATTTCAAAGTGCGAACTTCCTATGAAATACCTTGTCTTGCCCAGGTGAAGTTCCTGGCATTGCCTCAATCCCTGTAATCTTTTTTCCCTTGGAATTTCTACCACGTGAGCTTTTGACGTGTATTTGTGTATTATACTTTAACCCTTCTGTTTCGTAAAATAGACACAGTCCAGTAAAACTCCCAGCCACAGAAATCCTGCCATCTAGTGAAAATCCAACAGCCGTGATAAGCTGTGAATCCAGTTCGTTCCAGTAAGCAACTTTCTTGTCAGGAATATTCCATAAACGAAGTTTGCAATCCAATGATCCGGAAAGGAAAAAACGATCATCCTGCGTGTTGCGATGAGTAGAGTATTCATGCATAGAACCATCGATCAGTATTAATATAGGTGGATATTTGGGCACCAATGGATCCGAGTTAGGAAAGTTCTGTATCTATACATAAACGTCTTTTTGTCCCAAGCCAAAATATATACAAACTACTTTCGAACCAGCCACAAAGTTAGAACCATGGACATAGTTGAACAACTCCGGATCCACTGACGCCCAAATTTTTCATAATCATTCTGAGAATGCGATATTGTACCTTCGGGTGAAATGCAATCGCAGTAACAAAATCAGTATGTTGAAAGCAGCATAGACATTCCGAGCGTGTTATATGCCATAATCTATAACAAGCGTACACTTTTGTTATTATCAAAGTTATACGGAATGGCATTATTTCCTTCTTATTCAATTCTTACCTCACTGTCTTGTCCATCGACGAAGATAGCAAGAAATTGTTCTGAGAAATAAAAAGCAGGCTCAAATTTCAGTAACATCGACTATAAAACAGTAATCTTTCCGTTCACCCTATAAAAGCTGAAAGATATTACAGACCTTGCTCCAGCTTAGATCTAACACGTCAGCAGTATGTCCATGATATTCATACATAGGCTTATCTCTAAATACCGGAGCACCAAGCTTGGCTCCGCTCTTTCCTTCGTATATGCTCGTTCCACTCCCTTCAGCAAAATGTTCTCTTTCCTCATCACTAGATATTACCGCCCAAACACGAACAACAGCATCTTGGCCTCCAGTCGCTAAAAATTTACCATCTTTACTAAACTTCATAATCCATATCGCTCCCGTTTTATTTGAACCAAATTTGGAAGACTGTGTGTTGGGGTTGAAGAGTTCCTGAGCTAGGAAAAGGCGGTTAAAGTCCTTTTTGGTTTTGAAACGTGTTCTAACCTGATATTATAACAGCAAACAACGATTAAAAAACAGTTTTATATTGCGAGGTAGTGGCCAGAGCCCATTCATCACAATCGCATCTAACCTTGATGTATCGCGGCTGAGCCTGACCATCATAAGATTGAACATCAGAATATACAGGGGCAGTGTTTCCCGTAAGAAAATTATCTTCTGTATCCTCTTCAATTTTTTCGTGATTAGAAGACCGCTTCTTCAGCCGAGTCAGAAACGACTTTGGACTGGGCCAATTGATATATTATGCATTAATTTGGATACGCAAATGAATTCGTGTTCCTCATTTTTATGTATTTTCTTACCGATTATGTTTACTATTTTTCTCTTTATCTTTTTTGTCGTGCTCATTATAATCATCATCAATCCCTTTTGACAAGCCATTCAAATTGCCATTTCCGCGTTTAGCGTCATCCTCTCGAGGACTGCCCATCTCAGTATCAGAGCCTGTTCGTTTCAGTATATGAAACGAAAGCGGATCGATTTTCCCGCTGTTTGATTTTTTCAGTTCTGCTTCTACATCTGCTGCTAATACTTGCTTCCCAGTGTCTAGATCTTTAACATACACTGTCACATCGAGATCTTCTTCGTAATTATCGGTTTCGGACAAAGTTTGAGAAGGATGGTTGTCATTGGCTATAAGTAAATTGGAAGTAACGGAATTTAGTAATAATTAGGAGAAATTATCGAGCTGACTAGTGAAACTCCCATACCGCACTGGCATAGTATCAACAGTAAAAAATTTTATCAAAGATAAGAATATATCAAACTATTTTAAACAAAGAGTAATTCGTTCGAATTCGATCACCTCCAAGTAGAGAGACAGCAAGAATGTACGCAAAAGAATATGCATCGAAATCATACGCCCTGGTATTGTAAATAGCTTTACCTGAAGCCAATGATGCATTATCCTTATCTATTCTAGATGATACATCGGCTTTTGCAGTTTGGTCGTCTTCTGATAATGATCCACTTTCTGACAGACTGTAATCGGGTCCATCAGATAATCCACTCAATTCTTGTTCCCCATTGTCTATAGATGTATCAGTAACTGATATCTCTGGAATAATGCGTTTGGTATCCTCCTCCTTGGGTAGAGACGCTAACAGCTTATGACGAGCGGCGGATGATAGCTGAACAGCGGAAAATCTGAGATTTAATGGACGACCATTTGAATCATAGAACGTATCCTCTGCGTCTACAAAACTATCGCTGTCGTTGTCGGAAACGTTCATGTTCCAGTGCTTGGAACTCATTCTCTAATGGTTGTTCCATCTACTTATATGCCCCTATGTAGTAATTATGATAGGAGATCTTGTCAAAAATGGTCAAATGGCATTACAAATTTCAGTTAGGTTTCACCAGATGCCATATTTCTTTGATAATTTGGGTCAATTGGGGCGAACAAACAACATAAAGATTTCAGGGGGTCAAAAATTGAATGCCATAAATGCCACAAGATTAAGAATATTTCCGCTCCCCCGGCAATAAATTCTAAGCCAAATAAAAGCCACACTTGCCACATTTAATATTAACGTTGGTTTAGTATTAGTATTAGCGAGTTAATTCAAACCAAGTCACAGATATTTGAGAGATCCGCCAAATGGCCCGAATTCTTATCAAGTTGAAAAAGATGCGTTCCTTGGTCGTTGCAAAGTTGAAGAAGCATTCATCAAAAAGTAACATAACGATCCGATCACTTGTTCAAAAAAGAAATTTGCCGAGTTGCCGGGGTCCATCATAATCAGCATTTCTATTGGTGCGTTAAATGAAAGCAAACAAATACCAAGACGGGTTTGATTTATGTTTTCGATGGCCTCGCTCTTTGTAGTTGACTGCTATACTATGTAGTTGACCGCTATACTGTACTTGTTTACAGTGTTGCTACTACCTAATACTAACAAAGCTTAGGTTAATAATAAATATAATAGATAACTATAGGCTAAACTGGAGATATCTTGAACTAACTTGTTTGATCCCTTGTCTAAAACCCTGCCTGCCTGCCTGCCTGCCTGCCTGCCTGCCTATTAATATTAATATACTTAGGAACACATTTGTTTAGTCGATATGTGATAGCAAGGACTTTTCCAGAGTACTTTGCATGACATCATAAGTGCTCTCCAGCCACATAAGAGTTTGCACTGATGGCCTCTTACAGGATGCTCGTTCCAGCCATGGCAGTAGGACGAGGTGCTGGCTGATTTTGCCCTCATTACATTTCCTCCAGTTGGTCAAGACACTTGATTGCTGTATTGAAAAGGCATGGTTGAAATTAAACTCCCGTTCGGAACAAACAAATAAAGAAATAATCACTATTTCATTAGCACGCATTGCATTGCAAGTGTGGCATCCTTATTTGTTCATAAATATAACAAAACCCATATACACAAATATTAATATGACGGCATAGTAGAGCACGGAATTAAAAAGTGTGTGCCGCAAACCGAAATGTCTGGCAACAAGTCAAGATGTTTTATCTCCCAAAAAAGCATGGGATAACCTCGATCACTAACAGGAGACATTCAATTCCATCGACTGACAGAGACGTAATAAGAATTATGAAACCATTTCTTTACATACGATGAGCAACCGTATTCGAAGGCATTTAATCGAGGTACCACCCAAAGAAAACGTAGCTTTGTAAATCCTTATTGTAACAAATATTGCTCGGTTTTAAGCCTGACGACGTATAGAAAGAATACCGAATATTGGAAAATACTTTCCACGCAACAGTTATCTGATTGTTCTTGAATTCATAGTAATGTTGTATAGTTTAAAGCATGTGTGTAAGAAATAATAATTATTATTCTCGTCCGATTGTCGGCCGAACGGCAATAGACAAATTAGATTTTATAATAAGAAGAAAGTCAGTGCTCTGGATGTTATATTTTTAGTTGTGACCGCCCACTAGTACTAGTTGATAATAGTAATAGTAACGGTAATAGCGGCTCCGACGGGTTCTAAGAACGCCTATTATTACACAGAGGATAATAAACAGGTTTGTTTTTGTCATTGTATGTCTCAATTTATGCGACCGAACTTCTTACATTCCATATAAATCAGGCGCACTTGTACAACGGTCTATTTTTACGTAAATCCGTACAATGGAACTAATTTGGGAATTTATTTAAACAGTTTCTGTAACAATGCGAGACTGGTATTAGGGTTATTATTAATTAATGTTAACAATGTTATTGTTTATCAGAAATTGATAATTCTAGCAAAAGTCATACTCTACCGCTATCATTGTTGTTGTTGTTGTAGTGGTTGTTGTAATAATACTAATTATATCTCTTCCCCAATTCAAGCGATTTGCAAGTTCATTCTAATTCTACTTCGACCAATTTTGGCCATGTGTTACCATAAGCGAGTATGTTCCTCAAAAGGGAAATACGTTTGTTTTACGATAATCATCAAGTATTTACGTTTTTTATTTAGCAACCATGGTTGCGTGATGCGACCTAATTTGTTTGCTTGAATTCTCTGTTTGCCTAAATGGAGGAGCTCTATCGCAAAGGGACCGGACGAATGTATTAAACTGCGGCTGTATGTCTAGCAGTTTACACCACATATGATGCAAGGGGTCATGACGGCGTAACGGCTATCCCATGACTTTGGTAAAAAAGGTATTTGAAATTTCTTTAAAATTACTGGAATAATAAATTTGTGTAAACGGGAACGAAAATCATACTTTTATGTCAAATTTGGTTTTGGCATCTAATTAAAGAGAATCATGTAAAAATCAAAAGCAAATGAGCGTACGTCGATTAAACCGTTTAGCTATTACCTCTTATTCTGGAATAATCACGTGGAATTTCACATTTTATAATTGTGACAGCTTACCAAACCATACGCATTATCTTGGCAAACAGCTACATAATTAGTCAATGTTTATAATACTATTAATTAATTTTCATTAACTAAATACATAGTAATAGTCTATTTGACTGGCTTTTTGGACTGGCAAGAAAAGTTACTTTGTTATACTAGCAAAAATATCGTTACCAATATTGAAAATATTACCATTGACACGTTTCTTGTATTCTATTGCTTTTCCCGATTGAGATGTGAAAAAAAAACTTAGTCGAAAAGCTTGGATTTCAACGAAGATTCTTCGGTAATGAACTTTTTGATCAACAAATTTGCTTGTGAAATGGAAAAATCGAATTTCTCGATAATCCACCCACATTATTTTGATACCCATCCTACATAATACCTGATTTAATAAACCTTTTAATCGTATGGACAATGCGTTGCCCACGTTGATGACACGCAAGTAAATAAACTATTGAGCAATCAATCGCATGGGAAAAATTTTACCACGGCTTGGAAATCGATGCTGGCTACATTTCCACAAGTTCATTTCTCCCATTCAGAGCTCAATAATGTTTATACACACCACTGTCAATATGCTGTGGTTTTGGCTTTTCCAGTTTTTGCCACTATTATTGTCGTCGTTGTTTCGTTATATTGTTGTTTGTATTATTATTAGTAATCTGCAATGATGAAGATCCGATGATTGGCTGGTCACAAGCCTATCCATTAATGTTGATTGTTTACCCAAAAATGAAGGACAAAACTTTTGTCAAAATGTTCTTCTTAAATGACTTGTAGAATAAACATATATTACCCACAGTTGTCTGCGGGATATTTGAATCCATTGATGCAAAGAATACATACGTGAATATTTCAAACTAGCTTTTTTATTGGTCAGATATCAAGGAGAAGCATGGTTGCTTTAGAACACTCTATGTAGAATTGTCGATCATTTCAATACATTGAAATATTATATATGGGGCATATTAATATATATATAACTGTTCCTTATTCATCAATGTCAAGTGCCCAGAGAATGGTGTAACAATTTCAAGATCGCTGTTCTATTACATAAGAGTAACTCCGTAAACTAACTATTCACACTAGAACACATTATAATTATTCTGAATGAGTCAAGCCGCGAGGGGAATCGGCGACCTGAGGCATTCAGCAGCATCGACTAATGATAACTTGAGGCGGTCTACTAGTGTGAATAGACCCAAGGAGTTTGCATCAAAGGTCAAGAACAGAAAAACTTCGAAACGAGAACGAAGAGTGTTTGTTAATCTGCCTCTGTCCAAGAATTACCTTGACCGTCGAAATGATCCAAAAGTCAAATATGTATCAAACAAAATTGTTACTTCAAAATACACGACATTAACGTTTGTACCAAAGAACTTGTTTGAACAGTTCAGAAGGGCAGCCAATATGTATTTTTTGTTTATGGCCATCCTTGGACTGCTCCCTTTTTTTAGTGTGAATAACCCAGTTTTAACGGTACTTCCATTATCAACGGTTGTGTTTATTACAGCATGCAAGGATGCAGTCGAGGACTATAGTCGACACAAAATTGATCACCAGTTCAACAGTTCAACATGCTACTATCTGAAGAACTTTATTAACATCAACTATCCTATGGAAAGGCATGTTTCTCTATTTAATAGAATCATCTCGAGTACTGTGAACTTTTTCGCAGAGTTGGTCAAAACAAGACCAAAGGATCAGAAATCTTCACGTGACGTTCAAGGACAAAGTGAGGCTGAGGAACGCCAAGAGAGTATTGACGAAGAACCGTCAAATAAGGTTAATGGTGATCCGAAATGGAAAAAAACATATTGGCGCAATGTCAGAGTCGGTGATTTCCTATTTCTCCGTAATGGCGATGCAGTACCAGCAGACGCTATAATACTTTCCACCTCTGAACAAGAAGGCGGATGCTTCGTAGAAACCAAGGATCTCGACGGCGAAACTAATTTAAAACCTAGGAGGGCTATCCCTGACACTAACAACATTAGGTCTGGAAAAGACTGTGTTGAGACAAAGTTTTATATTGATGCTGAGTCGCCCAACTCGAATCTCTACTCTTTTTCTGCTGCCATAATATTAGTTGATCCGGCTGATCCAGATCTACAACAACCGCCGGTTGCTGCGACTAGGAATAGGGATTCGATACAGTCTGTTCAGACTACTAGTACGAATCGTCCGAATTCAAGACACAGCAGTTTTTCGCTGCATGATTATAAAGTACAAAAGTCTATTCCAGTCAATATAAACAACTTATTGTTACGCGCGCACGTTATAAGAAATACCGAGTGGGTGATTGCGGTGGTTGTGTATACTGGCGTTGAGACTAAAATTATGCTAAATAGTGGAGAGACTCCTAGCAAAAGAAGTCGGATCGAAAAGGAAATGAACAAAGAGGTATATGTCTTGTGCTTGCCATATCCCAGTTCTCATTACAATATATGCCATATATGCCTAAACTTTCAAATTTCACCTTACAGGTTATATTCAATTTCTTTGTTCTTATCGCCCTCGCTTTGATATGTGCTGTTGGAAGTGCAATATCTTCTGCAAAATTGTCAGCTAAAACGAACGGGATAGCCACTATGTTGTTAGATTCTAATCGGGATAGCATTGCATTTGCCGCTTTCCTAACCTTCTGGTAAGTATGATCCTGCAAATAGCAATTCACTTCCCCAAAGCTCGAAAAAAATCACTGAAAATGCTTTCTGTACATTCAACAGGGCAAGTCTGATTATCTTCCAAAATATTATTCCCATATCACTGTATATTTCTATCGAATTTGTAAAGACGTTTCAAGTAAGTTGGCTCACAATATTACTTCAATCAAACGGATCATGTCCGATGCGATATAACCTACTGATGATCCAATCAGGCGTATTTTATTTATAATGACCTCGACATGTGGGATGAAGACTCACAAACTTCTTGTGTTCCCAAATCTGTAAGTAATTTTCTTTTTCTAGCCAATTTTTTCCAGCTAATCGCTAATGATGCATTTCTCCTTTCCAGTGGAATCTATCCGATGATCTGGGCCAGATAGAATATGTCTTCTCTGACAAAACCGGAACACTTACTCGTAACATAATGCAATTTCGTGAATGTTCAATTAATGGTAAAGTCTACGGACATAATGGATGGGGCGGTAAAACCGATGCCGAAAAAGGAAAAGAAGTATTGCGAGGGCAAGGAACAGACGCCAGAAACAATAGGCAAGACCCAGAAGACATATGGCGATCTTATATCACTGAAACGGGAAAGGTCTTTGAACCCAAATATGCAAGTACGGATCCAAGCATCTTGACTTTTGTCGATCCAGAGCTCTTCAAAGATCTACAACGTGTGAGGAACAAGGACAACGGCTTGGCGTCTGGCGGCAGTAGCAGTGAAAAAGTAACAGAAACTGATAGCAACAAGGGAAACGCCGAAAAAATAAAAGAATTTTTTACGCTCTTGGCAGTGTGCCACACTGTAGTAGTAGATTCAAGTCCAGAAACAGAAAGAGAAGTGGAGGGTAGCGATAGCAAGGCAGAATCTGAAATGTTGACATCATCCGACACTAATTCATCGACTAATGATGTTACTCGGAATAATAACAGTACAGATGACATTCCTAATAAGAAATTGTCTCTTCAATTTGCAAAAGTCAGTATCAAAAAACACTTGAACACAAAACGCTTGGGTTCCATCGTGCCATCCCTCGGCAGTTTAAACACTTTGGTTGGGCCTTCTCCTTCAGTCAAGAAAGGCACACCAATAGATCGTACTGTTGCTGTTCCCTTGGTCTATAAGGCAGAATCTCCTGACGAAGCTGCACTAGTTTCTGCGGCGAAGAATGTAGGTTTTGCTTTTTTGGGACGAAAGAGTAATTATTTGAAGGTAGACATACTCGGAAGGGAGTATGATTTTGAGGTGCTGAACGTTTTGGAATTTAATTCGACAAGGAAAAGAATGAGTATCATTGTACGAAGACCGAAAGAGTTGGGAGGCGATATTGCATTGTTTTGTAAAGGAGCAGATAACGTCATAATAGAACGTCTGGCTGCGGGACAAGATGATCCCATCACGGCGACCATGAAGGACATTGAAGACTTTTCTAATGCGGGTAGGTGAATTCTATGCGACAGCCCTTTGTTTTAAGCTTCACCTCACTGCTCTCTTTTTTTTTCTCCTTCCCTTTCCTTTCTTCCTCTTAGGTCTTCGGACACTGACCCTAGCATACCGTACGCTTGAACCAGCATACTATGCTGAGTGGGCTGCAAAATATCGTGAGGCTTCAACGTCGATTGAAGACCGCAACATTAAAATCGATGCTACTGCCGATGAAATTGAACGCGAGCTCATATTGCTTGGTGCTACTGCCATCGAAGATAAACTTCAAGAGGGGGTACCCGCATGTATAGCTGCTCTTCGTGAGGCTGGAATGAAAGTGTGGGTACTTACTGGTGACAAATTGGAAACGGCTATCAATATTGGTTTTGCAGCACAACTACTTACAAAGGATATGAAGTTATGGACATTGAGAAATGCAAATAAGAAAGACGTTATTTCAAGGTTTAATGAAATTGTTGATAAATTTATCGATGCTGATGGATCAGTACGGATGGAAGATAAAGATGGGGAATATTCAAGTTCACAACGACATGCGTTTGTGGTTGATGGTGGTGCTCTGGCACATCTATTGGAGGACAAGCTTTCACGGACAAAGTTATTACAAGTTGCCGAAGTATTTGCATCTGTAATATGTTGTCGAGTGAGTCCCTTACAAAAGGCGTTGGTTGTAGAATTAGTCAGGAAGGGTAAGAGAACTGTCACCCTGGCTATTGGTGATGGTGCCAACGATGTTAGCATGATTCAAGCAGCAAACGTTGGAGTTGGCATTTCAGGTCAAGAAGGTGAGCACAAAAGCGGATAAATGTCACTTTATCAGTTAGTATGAAACTAATGAACAAGGTATTCCGCCTTTGAAATAATTATAGGTGTACAAGCCGCAATGGCAGCCGACTATGCGATTGCCCAGTTCCGATATCTTCAGAAATTACTTATAGTGCATGGACATTGGGATTATATGCGCATTTCCGAAATGATATTAAATTTCTTTTATAAGAACGTTATTTGGGTATTTCCAGTGTTATGGTTTCAGATATATTGCTTGTAAGTGGTTGGAAAAAGTTAAAAAGTCCGAGACAATTATTTGACAACCACCATTGATACTGACTGTTACATCTTCCTTGCTCTAGATTCTCTGGAAATATTTTCTATGATTACAGTCTTGTCCAACTTTACAACATGATCTTCACAGTAGGACCTGTTATTGTACTAGGTAATCTATTCATTCACTTTGACAATGTTGATATTAGTATTTTATTCCCGTCTCCTTTTTCTCAATCACCAACTAATTATCTCATCGTCTCACTTTCCAGGTACTACGGATCAGCCCGTAACGGCTTCATATTGCCTCCGCTATCCTGGTATCTATCGCATAGGGATAAAGCAACTCCGTTATAACCGCTTCCGTTTTGCACTATATTTTCTTGATGGGATCTGGCAATCTCTAGTTGTGTATTATACCTTCCATTTCATCCATTACAACACGCAAGGGATAGTCTCATCGTCATCTTACTCGACCGGTACAAATGAATTCTCAACGGCTGTGGCAGTGACAGTAATCATAATTGCTAATCTTTTTGTTGGATTCAACACATACCATTGGAATATATTCATCTGGATCACTGTTTTTGGAGAGATTGTTATGCTGTTTCTATTTGTTCTAGCTTATGGCGCATCTCGGTCTCTCACGCTTTATGGCATTGGAATACAGATATTTAGTCAAGGGACATTCTGGTTTGGAATGCTATTTGGAATATTGGCAGCGGGGCTGCCTAGATATGTGATAACATTTATTAAGCAGTGGTTCTATCCTGATGACTTGGATATTGTCAAACAGATTAAAGCGAAAGAAAAGCAACGCTGGCAAAAGTCAAAAACAACAAAGCTGACAAAGCCTGAGATTACTATTGAAGATGCGACACAATAATTAATTGTATTAATTCATGTGATATAATTGTTTGATATTGTAACATTTATTTTAGATCTTTGTTCTTAATTAGAGAGTAAATGAATGAATATATTAATATAAACCACAAAACCATAATTCAATGTAATGGCGTTATGAATTGATAAACTGAACCGAATGGAGAATCAGAGTTTCATGGCATAAATAAATTGATTTTGTGGGTTCAACGCAAGGCAAGAAACTAAAAATACGATATACTTGCCTAGTTTACGGTACTTATTCCATTTTCCATGTATCGTAGACGCGTTCTTTTATTTCGGAATAACGAATATCTATTGGTGTTATAATTAACGTTGGTAGACTTTCGGTCATAATTCCAAAAGACATAATACTCATTTGACAAGTACGGCGACCTATAGTTTGTTTTTCTGACTCTTTACAAAAATCAAACCCGAAAGCTACCTAATAGTCGTTTCACCTTTTGTATATTTAAATTATTGGTGTCGGGATTTCTTCCACACTTTCTAATCCAGTAACATTTAATTTCCTCCTTCTCTCTATCCACTCCACGACTCTTCCGGCTAACATTCGCGAATTCAATACAATGTCATTAACACTAACGCCCAGATAACTAGCTCCCGCTACACTCAGCCTTCCCCCACACATATTCCTAATAGAATGGTGTAATTCCCGCATTCTGTCAAGATGCCCCACTTGATACTGTGAAATACATTCCCTCTGAATAGTAACATTCCACAGCATCGGTTCCTCTCTTATTCCCAAATGGTTCGATACAACCCATCGCGCATGAGACAACAATTCATCTTCATTTGGAATCGAATTCATTCCGTAATAATAATGTCCCCCCAGCATCACCGTCAGCTTGGTTATATTTACTTTATCCTGAGATGGAACTGCATCAGAATCGAACACGACTCCAAGAGCACTATATATATTATTTGGTATTGATGCTGGAATTAAATAACCAAATCCAGTAACAGGGAGAAGAGATGGATTCGAATACGCTAGATTTACAACTGCCACAGTGACTGAGGGTGTTTGAGATAGATAAGGAAGGGTGGGAGTGAGAATACGTGAAAGAATATGAGATGATAGTGTGCTTATGATGTGCGAAGATGGGAAGACGGATGACTCTGTATAGACCTGAGATAAAACGAGGAGAAAGGGGGAATCATTCACAAGAGAAGAGTAAGTTTTGATGGAAGACATAATGATTGATTGATATGATGAAATACTCGTTAAACAAAAAAAATCATAATTATCAATTAGCAGTGGAACTAACTAACCTTGGCTTTCTCATTCTCGATTTCAAGCTTAACAACTTTCTCACCCATTTTAATGGCTACATTCTCTTTCTTTCTCAATTCCCTTTCCAGCGCATCAACTATCATCTGAATTCCATCCTTAAATGAAAATATGCTGATTTTACTCATATCATTAATCAAATCTCCTACACATTCTCCAAGTTCCCTCTCTAATTCCTTCTTATCTTCCACTTCCTTCAATCCTCTCATTAGTCCTTTTAACACAGATCCATAGTAATGTTCATAATAATACAAAGAAGGAAAAACAGAGCGAACAGATAACTGGTTGGCATCACCAGCATATATCCCATGTATCACAGCACTCATTATATTGTCAGCAATGTGAGAATTAAACCGACGGGCTATAAACGCGGTGATAGATTCGTCATCAGTGTTGGCAGGTTTGACAAAGGGTTCACGAAGGATGCCCGGAATTGCCTTGCGGATGAAAGCACGGGATAAAGACGGAGCGAGAGAAAGAAGAGAATGAGGTAACTTATTGAGACGATCGGGATAGTAAATGTAACGATTAAGCGCAGCAGGATGAGTTTTTGGTATTGTTATGAGAGAAGGTATGAGATTAAGAGATTTTATCTATAGTGATAAATGATACGTGTTAGAAAAAAAAAAGTTACTTGAACAACAGGCACGTAAATGCGAACACATTTCTCACTCTACAACATTACCCTAACCCTCTTTTCTCTACTTCATTAGCTTCCTCACCAACTCCAATACGGCTAGCCCGCCCAGCCCACCGGGCCTTAATGTTCGTGGACCGTACTCAAAGAGTATTCCCTGCTCTCCATGTCGTCTTGACTGTATCCACCCACCAAGTCTGTTTGATGCTTCTATTATTGTTATTTTACATGACTTTGGCAAACTTCGTGAGAGATACCAAGCCGTAGAGAGACCTGATATACCACCACCTAAAATGGTGATGTTGAATGTGGAAGGCATAGGAAATTATGGGTGTTCTCATCAGTACCTTCCCTACCAGATTTTGGTAACGTTTCGAGTTACTAAATTTGGTAGGGGAGATATCCCCAAATATTTGCAAACATAAGCCATTTTGGCCAAACCTTCCCAAGCTTTTATCATTGTTACTATCAATATGAGAAACAAGCTCTGCAAATGATGCCTATTTGGAATGGATTCCATTTGATTATATTTATAATATTCTACTCGTGCAGAGGTTAAATTGATTCCACTTGACGAGACAGATGATTTATATTAAAATCATGATTAAGAACTTACATACATTCTCCAACGTACTGGGTATCTTTATCATATGTTTTCGCGTTTATTCTAAGCAAGGAACAAATACCTTCAATTGAAGCATCTTCCAGAAGTGTTATCATATTAATACGTGTTCATTGATCTGCATGATCCGCATTTATAATTTCCAGACCCGTTATGTGATATTTTGCTGAGAAAACCATGTGAGCGTTCAGTAATTGGCTAGCTCTTTCAATAGAGCTTGATATTAAAACACTGTTCTCTAAATAACCGATCGGTATAACGCGGATTCCGGAACTCTCTACAGAATTACTGAAATACCACACACGTCGGCAACAGTTACGCTTAACAAAAATGTAAATTATATGATTGTTGAGTTGCTAGTGATTGACGACGAAAGCGTCTTCAAAGAGTCAAATCATACTTAATATGCTGGGGCACACAATCACGCTTAACAAACATGTAAACTATATGAGCATTGGATTCTTAGTTGTTGTATTAGTGCTGATTGACGACAAAAATTGATTTCGCAATCAAGCAAATCATTATATGCAACCTCAAATCATACTTAACATTCTGAGTCAAATTGTCGCACACACATCGGCAACAGTTATAACTAACAAATATGTAAGTTATATGAGCATAGGAATTCTTGACGACAAATATCGATTTCGTGTCTTCAAGCAAATCGTTATTATTATAGCAACTCAAAATCGTACTTAATATTAATATCATGTACAGTCAAACCTCGTTATACCGATATTTTCGTTCTGCCAAAAATTTATCGGTATCAGTTTTTTCTTTTCTACTGATAATATATGGAGCAGATTACAACAAAATCAGACAAAGTGAACATTCTGAAATGAGAATGCTGATGTGGCTGAAAGTTAACTAATTTGATTAATGACTTTTGACTGTGACGTTGATTTTTTTAGTATACCAAAATGTGACTAACAGTCCTCAACCTAATTGAAATAAACTTGACACTTTATAAATACAAAAATTTCATATAGGATTACCTCCATCTATTAAAATATCAAATCCACTATGGAACCAAAGAATTACAGCACCATTAGAAGCATCTTAAAGAAAGCTCAAGGAGAAAAATTGCCCCTTATATTTTTAAAATCAATGATACCCAAACAGTCCAAGATCTAGGTAAAGAAAAAATCACTTATGAAATTTACGAAAAATAACAAACATTAAGAAAGAAAACAGAATAATGATGACCATTACAAAATAAAAGGCGAAAATATCTGGACAAAAAATTTTAATACAAACAAACTTACCATCTATTTCAGCTCTTATTAATGAAATTTCTAAACAGAATTAATGTTTTATTCTTACTATAATTTATAAAGTTATCTTTTTTTTAAACAGTGGTTTTGCTTTTTTTTTGTTATTATGTGAACTGTTCATGTTTTGGTTTGGCCATTTTCATCTTTCATTGACACACAATAACAAACTAAGCCTGAATAGTCTTCAACACCTCATTGACTTTCCATGATTCACAGAAATGTTATAGTTGTGTAAGGTCTACAATCCAGTTTGACCAATCAGAGAAAAATTTCATCTCAGATTTTGAGCAATGGTAATTTGAGAATGTGCTTCTTTGTTTTTAGTGTCTGATAACAAGATCAAACCATCAATTGCCTTGAAGTTTTAGACAAAAGGAACATAAAGTGCCAAATTGTGACCCAAATCAAATACAGGAAAGTTTCCACTGATGCACTCTTTATAACATAGTGTCCATATTAAATGTGTGTATTGTGAGAACCATGTGTAAATACTAAAATATTATAGCATTTGAAAAAATACATACAGTTTTTGCTTCACTTAACCAACTACATTGTGCATAAATTCCACATAACATGAAATATCTCTTGTTGATAGGAAACAAATCAATGACCACATTATTTGTGATTGGATATACATGTGTCACTTGATGTGTTTTGATGTATTTTTCATATTCTTCTGCTTTCACTAAGGTTGCGCTGGGATTTTCTCCTTTTTTACATTCAATCTGACCTTGGGTCAGAGGAAATCACATACAGTCGATATCACCCCAACTTGACTCGTAGATTTGCGATGCTGAAAATGTCTTTACCGTTGTATCTTATTGTGCTGATATTACTAAATAAATCAAAGAAGTAACAAAACAGCTTCCAAGTAATCTCTCAAAGAATACTATTGAGAAAAGGGCAAGATAGACTTGTGATGAGCATTCTTTGAGCCTTATGCTCTCTAAAAGTGCTCTTGAATTTTTCGAATATACTTTCAAGTTCTTCACCAAACGAGTGATATTCCGAATAACATCTTGGTTTGTACGTCTTCAGCTGGCATAATTAGTAAGATTCCCAGGTCTGTGAAAAAAGAACTCCTCTTTCCTGCGTCCACGTCTATTGGGTCCATGTCTAGATGTTTTTTGTATGAGGGTGAATGATAAAAGAAGAGTCGCGATATGGCTCTGTGCTCAGCCCTTTTTATATGTTTCTTACACAAACATGTGATACTTCAGCTATGCCTTTGTCAGTGACAAAGACAAAGAGAAAATCTCTTTTATACGCATCACGTTATGGAACAATGTTTTGTATTGTTGTATTGTAGTAACAATCAGAGAGGGGTCCGGTTCATTTTTTTTTTTTTTTTTTTTTTTTTTTATAATGTAGAACTTTATTGTCTAACTACGGTTACCCGCTAGAGCTAGTTTTAACATATATGCTAGGCATACATAGGTACAATAAAGAGCTTGGCTAAGAAGCCTAGAGAATATGTGCAGATGAAATAATATTGAATAGCAATAGTTACAAAGTTAATGTTTAAGATAATAATAAAGAAATTGTTATTGTTAATTATGACAGAATATCAATATGGAAAAAATGAATTGTAGTTATTATGGAGAAGATAAGGTAGAGGAGAATCTATAAATTTCAGATATAGAGGGCCAAGGAAGGGAAGAAGTAATGGATTTATAAGTATATTAATATTAATCCCTTCGAGTCGGGTTATCTTGGTAACACGAAAATCTCTTTTCAAGCACGTGCGATCGATAATTATTTGATCAATCTCAACTTTTCTTTCCATACCTGATCACCATGTCTTTGCTACGTCTTAATCCCACACTGCGAGCACTAACACGCGCTGTGACCCGCCCAAGTGCCCCCTTTGTGACAAGGAGTATTTTGAACAGAGCCGGAATTAGTAGCGCAAATGTCATTGGCAGACACTATGCTTCAAATCCCAAACCCAAATCCTGTCATGCCAAAATCAAGGTGGGGATTCGTACAATGATGGAGAAGGTGTTATTCAAAGATGGCCAAACGTTGCGTGTTAACATTCTCGCGATCAATAGCATCCTGCTCCGGTTTGGGAAGCTAATGCAGTGATTAACGGAAATATAAGAAATCTTTCTCATCTCGATTTCGCAAATAAATATTTGGTGCTGCTCTTTTTCCCACTTAACTTCACATTCGGTAAGCGATAAGGAGGTAGAACGTAATCAAAATACCTAAATTACGCGTGATTTTAATGTTCTTTTGTTTTCCTTGACATGTCCAGTGTGTCCCACCGAGTTGATTGCATTTTCGTGAGTTGGTTATGTCCAGCCTCTTTACTACTTGGATCTTTTATGGATTCTGATGCAATTTATTGATAGTGATCGGATCGAGGAGTTCCAGGAATTGAATGCAGAGGTGGTTGGCGTATCTGTTGACTCGGAGTATTCTCATCTGGCATGGAGGTAAGCAAGCTATATAACTGAAGCTTTTGTAATTAGTTGGCGTGAAAAAGTAGGTCAAATGATTGTTTTCGTTTTGGCTAACAATGGTTTATAATGATAGTAATCTACCCCGCGATCAAGGTGGCATTAGTAATATCAGGTTAGTATTGCCATTAGTCTTAATATTTTATAATAACGCATTACCGTGATTGTTTTTCTTACCTGGTGTCTTTTATATAGGATTCCGCTCGGTAATATTAACGTTCGCCTTTCCATTCATTTTGTTCCTGTTTATTGTTTCATTATTACTAACGATTGCTATTTTGTAGTATCCGATATAAAGAAAGAGATATCAACCGCGTATGGAGTACTGTTCGAAGAAAAAGGTTTCGCATTTCGGTACGGACAATGATTACTGGCCATGTGACTCGTGTTGATATAATTAACCAACGATTGATACTTTTATAGAGGTTTATTTATAATCGACGATCTAGTGAGTGGCGCATAGGTTATTGCTATGCTTTTGCGGCTGTGAATTCGATCGTGCATATACTCACAATCCATAACACATTGGATATATTTCCAGGGTTTACTACGAGTATCCCAAATCTATGACACCGAAATTGGTAATATGATCTATTTCAACTCTGTCGAGACAAATACGCGGATTCAATAATTTGAGGAATGCTTATATAGGCCTTATCCATTTATGTTATGTGATATAGGACGATCGGTTGATGAGACGCTTCGATTGATTCAAGCAATACAACACGCCAATACTTATGGTGAAGTATGCCCAGGTAGATACAATTCATCAGTCTTTGCGGTTAATGCATATTCATCGTTGATTAACATCCGATACTTTTGTATCTGTAGCTAACTGGAAAAGAGGCAGTCCAGCTATCAAGCCAAATCCAAGGGATTCAAAAGAATATTTTGAGAAGCAAGGAAGATGAACCAGAACCGTGTATGGAAGGGCAGAAGTTAGAGATCAATTGTATTGCTTAGTTGATCCGTAGTCTTTGCTCGAATAAATGCGATATTGGATAATAGTATGGTCAGCCAATTAATTGGTTGTGACGTATCATACATCTCAATCTGTAAAATAAGATTTCCATTCTAAGTCACAAGTTGTGACAAAATAAACATAATGCACACCAGAGATAGTCACAATGAATGAGTGAGAGGGAGAGAAACCGCTGATTATCACGCGTTTGTCTTAGCCCATATTTCTTGAAGCCAGTTAATTGGTTTCTCCTTTAAGCGGGAAGTTAAGCTAACAGTGATTATAACTGTTTGAATTCCTTTTATGAGGCAGGAAATAGTAAATTATAATTAATTAAAAGTAAGCACCGAAATCAAGGATAGTATTATTCAACAAAATACTTACTTTCCTCGCTCGGCAGTAAGTCAATCTAAAAGAAAAAGTAAACGGATCTGTTAAATTATCAGTTTCTCGTGAGTCGACATGGATGACATGTACATTTTATCGAATATGATAATCTGGTCATCCACTACAACGATATCAGTGGGATAAGATCATGCATTTTTAGCAAGATGAAAAATCATTTTCATATTAATATCTGATTAACCAATGTATGCCTTTGATATTCTATTGCTGCCCATCTTTTGAAAGCAATCCTTGACTACTAGATAATGGCAACTCCTCTATATCTTTTTGTTTAATTATATTGTGTGATGAACCTGCTCTGTGAAGCATTACCGCAGGGACGGCGATTTTAGCATCTCACGCATTAAATGTGTTTACTTACAATTTAAAAATTTTAAAATATACAGTATACTATATATCAGCAATAATATAATTTTTAACACGCCTTACTAAGTTTAACGACATCGAATGTACTGACGCGGGTGCGGTCGCTGGCATAATTTGACGTAAAAAAATAGATAAAAGTCTTATGTTTTTCTTTTGGAAAAAATATAATAATAGTAATAATCAAATTTCTGTCAAACGGTCATTGACACAGACTAATGGAGACCCTAAAAAACGCCTAGTAGTGTGCTTACTTTTAGTGACAATAATTTACGGTCAAATTTTTCGGGCTAAGAAAAAGTACATTATAAATCAGACATGAAAAAATTTTTTGCTTGCAATTTGTTTATTAGAAAAAACTTGGAAATCTTTTACTAAGCTTCATTACAATATCGAGAGCTCGTTAAATTAGACCAAAGTTTCAGTCCCGTGACTTTTGGATGTCTGACATTTTAGCTTCGGTTCCATAGTAATGTCGTAATGAATGCGTTGTAGTCTGACCTATATTCCGAATTACAGTCGAACGCTTGTTTATCTAGATAGGAAACATGTGCAACTTCCGACAGTGTAGGCGTGTAAATTGCTTATAAAGTATAAAAATGTGTATGGCAACGTTAGTGATGTACTGTTGTACTGTAAGCGCAATTGATTAGCTGAATGACTTTGTAACAATGGCTCATGAAGATGAGCATAACTTTTTAATAGGAAATGGCATTTAGGATGAAAATAAGGAAAGGAATGTGGAATGATTGCTTTAATAGATGACAAATTGAGGACAAATTTCATCGGTTTAAAGAGAATGATAGCGATAGTATAGTTTGAGACATTTTAGTTTATTAATATTTTGGGGAATGCAAAAAAGGTTCTATTGCAGAAAAAGTTAAGCAATACTTGAAATCTGTTAATTCTAGCTCAGTACGCGTTATATTTTACCAGCAAAAAATGTAAACAACAGTTGTCTATAACGCATCTTAAATAAATAAAATATGCTCAAAGTGTCAACAAACACTTATGAACAAAGTTGCTCTCTTTATTACATTATTGGAATGAAGATTTCAGTTCTGTGCCCGACCAGCAAGGGTCACAAAGCTATCAGTTACAACCGTGCGATATATGTTAGAAACTGGCACATTGGAGCATAGAATTTTGACAGTGGAAATGAAATCTGTTCCAGAGTTTGTCTTAAATAATTTAGTAATTTAGTTGCTACGCCCGTTTTGAAAATAACGATGAGCGAACTAATTTGGCTTTCAAATAATGTATCATTTTGTGCGGTATACCTATAATGAATTTACTATACTGTATAGTAATATCTCTTATGGCAGCATGACAAATAGCGAAGAGAAAAAAGTATTAGACTATGCCCTTTTGGTACGACAAAAAAGGTAGTGAGATAATTTAATCAATTTGGTAGCACATATTATAAACCGTCACGTAAACAATAAACTTTAGGGGGGGTTATTTAACAGTAATCACAGTAACCTGCATTTGAAATAAAAAAATTATGTCATGTGTTCTTATGTAATAAACTATCGGTGAGGGAAGGTTATGCTACTAATGGAGATAATCAGGGGACATAGGAAAGCTACGTTGCTTTGGAGACCAAGCACAACCATTGCACGGAACATAGCTCCGTTGCTTAGAATCGTTCGATTGCTTGGGACCATTCGAGGGTTGATTCGCTTGCTTCGGATCGTTCGGTGGCGGTTGCTTCGGAGGCGGTTGCTTCGGATCGTTCGGTGGCGGTTGCTTCGGATCGTTCGGAGGCGGTTGCTTCGGATAGGCTTGATTCGTATCGCCTGAGCCTGAAGGCGCGCCCGACGTACTGCCCGAGCCTGAAGTATCACATCCAGGGGCGGGACAATCTCGCTTCACAGATAGAGGTATCTTATTATCTATATTCCATACTGGGACTTCATCATTTCGGCCTGCAATCTGGTAAAAGGCAGCTGGGGAGAAATCAGTTACAGCAAAAGTTACTATTACGCTTTCCTTTGGACCTGTAATACTCATGTGAAATAAATCATGGGCTTCACCGTCACCATTCCCGTATTCAACTGTAGAGACAGTGCTCTTGCCAGACCCAAGAAACCGTGCCGAAGCTTTAACTGAAATAATAACAAGAATTGCTGTCGCCAACAGAGTAAATAACTGTCGAGCCATTTAATACTTGTTCTATTTGTAAAGAAATAGGTTTCGGAATAGGGGTGCAAAACGTGAGTAAAATAATGGATGATAATGAGGCGGGTCGAATTCTTCCCTCGGGTAGAAAAAGGATAAGAATTCAAGGATTGAAATAAAAAACGAGTAACTTAGTAATGGGCGCACGTTTGCGGGTGGCGCAAAAATTGTGTACCAAATATGTCTGCCTCAAAGAGTTAATATACCATACAGCAAATCATATTAATATGATAAGATTATTATTATCGGGAATTTACCTGCTAGGTCGCACAACCCGACATGTTGTGCAGTCCATAATATTTCTATTTATTGGGGGAGAAGTCTTCTGACGTAATCAGGAATTTATCCGAAGTGTTGCACAGCTCATAATATTTCTATTTATCGTAGTGGTACTCGAAATATTTATTATTTGTACAATTCTTCTGTTCGTACCACTACCATAAATAGAAATATGAAGAATACCGATGACAATAATATTTGAGACTGCACGACCTGGCAGGTTGTGCGACATGGTAAATTCCCGATATAAAGATAAGAATGAATATGAAATAGAATTGATTTCTGATGAAAAGGTATGTGCTAGATCTCGGAAAACCGATACCGCTCAAAACCGATACTTTTTTCAATTCCCGTGCAAATTATATATATATATATATATATATATATGACAAATCCCTCGTAAAACCGATATTACATATAGACCACGCAAACCCGATAAACCGATATTTTTTTGGCGATAGTCACAATACGATTGAGCCTATGTTATAATATAGTACAAATTATTGGAATAGAACGTGTCCTGATTCTTGCAATTTCATTGGTCAACCAATGAAATCGCAAAAAATTTATGTACATTCGTATCTACAGTAACGTGCAAAAGTATCCTACCGGTTGTATCATCTAAACGTACATAATAATAACTCCTTAAATTTTCC